TCTCTCTCTCTCTCTCTCTCTCTCTCTCTCTCTCTCTCTCTCTCTCTCTCTCCCCCTCTCTCTCCACCTGAGATATAAATGTTCACTAAAAATATTCAGGAAGTATATTCCATTGATTGGACATAGCTAGTCCTTTAATCTTTACCGTTTGTTTCCATTTTTCCATTATGAAGAAGGTCAGAGCCTTCCATTTAGGCTGAAAATGACATTTTTGAGAAAAGTGCCTGTGAAATAACCAAGGCAACATGGAACAAGTTAGATTTCCTTAGTTAATTAATTCCATTTCACAAAAGTGAGTAAAGCATGTAATTCAAGACAGTTCCCTCAGACTTCAAGCTATTCGTTCTGCCCACACCTTGTATCAGCCTTGTGTCAGATGGTGTTAGTAATAGATTTTTGCCCTTACAGAACTGAGTCATGTGTCTTTGGCACGTGTGTGTGTGTGCATGCAAGTGTGTTTGTGGGGGGAAGCTGTTAAGCAAATGACTGTCATTACAGATGGTGACAAAGGGTTAGGTGGGCTGAGACATGGCGGGGGAAGTGACTTGGGGAAGGGCAGGCCCTTAAGCCAGGACTTGAGGTGTGAGCAGGAGGTGGCCTCAAGCGAGCAGCAAGCTTGCACTGGGGCACAGGGTGATCTGGTGCCAAGAGGAGGAGTCTGCGTCTTATCCTGATCACCATGGGAAGCCTTAGAAAGTTGGACAAAAGCAAGAGAACAGTGGAAGTTTGAGAGGTTTTCAGAACCCAGAGGAAACAGCTCCTTTTAAATTCACTTTTAATTGACATAATGAAAATATAGTAAGATTTGTTTTATTTGTTCAGTTCCCACCGCATGGTAATTGCTGGCAGCTGGAGGTTTTGTGGGGCGTGTGACTACTCCTCAGATGTTTGGAGATCCTGGGCATCCATAGTACGAATATGGCTGTGGTTTTCCTCAGCAGATGGACTGGGGTACAGGGCCATATTCTGGCAAAAACTGATTGCATAGGTGTGCCCGAGAGCCTGGTAGTGGTCCATCAGGCCTGGAGGGCCTCATGCCATTCAGAAGCGCCAACTCTTTCTTCAAGGTAAGTGGTATATGGTTCCACTAAAGTTTTATGATGGTGCTCCTCGCAGAACACTGGCCATGCCTGTGACCGGGCCCTGTTCCTTGCAAGGCTCCGCAGGGGATCCATCTCCCTTGAAGGCTGTCACCTTGGTAAGCCTGCAAGGGGCTTGTCCTTGAGGGTGAGAGCCGCTGCTCAAGCCTGGCCTTCTCCATGTGATCCACTCAGTGCCAGCAGAGGGCACACGCTGCCGGAGCCTCATTCTGCCCCAGCATTGCTGAGCTCAGTTCAGCCCTCCCCACAGCAGTGGGAAATGGGGTAGGAGTTCTGAAACACCCTTGCAGGGCAGCCCCTCTGCCTGTTCAAAAAATCCAAACTCAACAACAAAAAGTTACCTGTGCCCAATGCTTGTGCAGCCTAGTGAAACTTGGGCAGCTGTGTTTTTATGCTTCCAGGAACTCTAGGTTGAGACCCATTGTCATACCACTGTCGGGATAAGCAGTGTCTCTAAAAAGTGAAAGTGGTTTTTATATTCTGATAGTGGATATATTGGTTCCTTTAAAAAACAATTTCAGGGGGCCAGGGAGATGGCTCAGTAGGATAAGCGCTTGACTGGCAAACGCAAGGATCTGAGTTCAATCCCCAGTTCCACCAAAAAAAAAAACAAAAAAAAAAAAAACGATTTCAGTATAACCATTGCCTTAGCTCTTTTGGGCTGCTACAAAAATACAAGCAACAGACATTTCTGTGAGTTCTGGAGCCTGGAAGTCTTAAGAGCTTGTGGCTGGGGGAAGCCCCTTTCCTCGCTCATGGCTGCTCTCTGCTGTGCTGTTCACACGGGCGAGAGGGATGGCCTGGGGTCCATACTGTTTGTGAGGATCCACCCTCATGACTTAATCACTTCCCAGATTGGGAGGGAGGGAGACATAAATATTTAGTCTGCAGTAGTAATAGACATACCCAGGCATACGTGTGAGGATGGTCACTGAAGTAGTTCCAAAAGCAAAACCAAGTGGGAAATGAAGTTTCGATCAACCACAATTATGTAAACGTTGGTAGAGCCCCACAGTGGAGTAACACACAGCCCTTAAGAAAACCACGAGGTCAGCCTGTATCAGCTGGTGGGGAAAGATGACCATGGGTTATTGGTAAGTGTAAAAAAAGATAATAAAAAAGGACATAGTCTGGATGATCTTAATTTGGTTTTTTTAAAAAAAAATTTTTATCCTGTATTTAGGATAGGGCCTACAGGGTCTCACTATATAGATCGGACTCATAGTGATTCTCCTGTATTTGTCCATCCAAGATAAGCTTGCGCCACCACGCCCGGTCACGATCCTGCCTCAGTATGACCCAGGGGCGGGACCAGCACGTCCTGCCAGAGCTGGCCCGGGATTGAACCCCTGCCGCTGCGCTCTTCCTTTTTTTTTTGTTTTTTGTTTTTTGCAGAGCTGGGGATTGAACTCAGGCCGGGAAGCTCTTATTCAACTGTGCTGTCTCCCTAGCCCCGCTCTTCCTAAGCAGGCACTTTGGTCCGCTGAGCTATCAGGCCGGCCCTGTGCTGTTTTTTAAAAATTCATACTTTGCAAACTTGATGGTGGTTCCCCCTGGGAGAAGACTGGGGGTGTTCATGAAACAGTCTTCCACTTTCAACTTTGTACCCATCTGATAATGGCTTGCAGTTGTCCTTATGAGCACATCACTTGTCTACATGAGTGAAGAAAAATGCTGTAATAAGCAGAATCTTTTTTCTCACCCCTCTTCCTTTAGGCCAGCTTTCTAACCAGAGAAGAGTTGCCTAATCCTGAATTCCTGTTCTGGACTTCGAAGTGGGTAGACAGGATAGAAACCCAGCATTTGTGATGAACTGTGTCTGTCCCTTGTGCAGTGGCTTTCCTTCCCGCCTGCACCCTGACTTTGTCCCCTGCCTACATGCAGGTGTCCTTTCGATGCAGGAGCCAGGGTGGCCTGTGTGCCACTTTCCACACGGTCATCACCAAGCCTTGCTGAGGTCTGCTCTTGGCGTGCACACCGTGTGGCACACAGAACACAGTCCCGTGGCAGCTGCTTTCCTTCCTTCTGTCACCAACACTGTAGGACCAGGTATCACAGTCTCAGCCGATCATCAAGTCATTGTGTTTAATGCTCTCTGCAGAGCAGATTGGTTGGGTAGAGCTGTTGCTTGGGGGCAGCCTAGGGTAAAGTGCCCAAATAACCACAGTTCTTTAGTTGCCATTGCGTGACCTCAGGATGCAGGAGTTCCCAGTGGAAAGCAACAGGGTCCCTCTGAGTCCCAGGCAAGGTCCAATTTTTATGGTCTTGTTTTGATCCTGCAGTATTTTAATTATAAAATCCTGTCTAATTAGAGTTAATCAGGCAGGGCCAATGCCATCTGGTTGTGTTTGTACCAGCCCCAGGGACAAAACATCCATTTACTGATTAAGTAAAATACTCTGCTATTAGTTGTACCTTTGTTGGAAATAGCTTTAATATTTACAGGTAGGAACTTAGCTTGGACCAAAATATAATGTTGTTAGAATTATATGTGAGCTACCCTTTGTCAGTCAGGAGAAGCAGCATCAAAGACATGTTAAATGCCTACTACATGCCATGCAATCCGTACCTGATTGTATTTAATCCTGCAGGCAACTGCCTTGAGTCAGAGGACCCCAGGCAAGCTAGAGCGGGTGCGTGAAGCACATGTATTTTGAAGCAGGATTTGCCTGCTTGAATCCAAGTGCCGTTGCATCCCAGGTGGGACTTTGTCCCTTGGTTTCCTTGTGAAATCCTACAGAGCCTACAATGGGGAGGACTGAGCGGCCGACTGCATGAAGAGTCCTTCCTCTTATCCTGGGAAAGCCCTCAGTGTTTGCGATAATCACTTGCAATTCACAGATGCAATTCACAGATCAGCATAGAGATATGACAGTCACTCAGCTAGAGAGCAGCAGAGCTGGGACAGTCTACTATTGTGTCCTGCCTACCAAGCCGCCAATGAGAGAAATAAAGACCCAGAGGACTGCCATGACAGCTGGGAACAGAGGCAGGTGCCACTCAGGACACCAAAGGGTGGCTGATTTACACAGGTGCCCACGGTGTGCCTCTGTCTTACCCATATTGCTTCTCCCTCCCAGTTTATTGCCATAGGTCATCAACTTAGCACCTCTGTGGGAAACAGGGAAAATCTGACTTGAGAGATTAGGATGAAGGCTGATAGGACTCAAAGTTTCCCAGACACCCTGACCCCAAACTCTTCCCCCTGGCCCCACGCAGAGCCAAACCAAAAACCACAGAACAAGTCCACCTGACTTTGACCTGGGCAAGCAACCATAGAAACTCTCCATTGTTAACATCGAAAGTCCCCCACAGACCAAGTAGCCCTGCCAGGATTAGCTCTCCCTTGGTTGTTGCAGCCCACAAACACCCTCCCCTAAAAAACCTATAGAATCCCCTGTCCTCTTTTGTTCACCACTGTCTTGGTCCACTAGACAGACAGCCTGCTTGCTCCTATCCCCAATAAATCTTCCTGCGTCAGAATGCCTGGTCTGGTTGATTGAGTGTTTGTGCCTAACAAAGGCCAAGTGAAGATTTTTATAAAAGCTCTTTAGGGTGGTTGCTAAGTACATCCAATGTCGAAAATTGCTTTTCATGCACCAAATTTCATGCTTCTCTCGCCATCCCTGTTATCACTTCCCTTGTCCAGGCGACGGGTCACCATGATGGCAATAGATTCCTGGCTACTCTCCCAGCCTCCCTGTTGTTTACAACGAACCCTCCATGATACAGTGAACGTTTCTACAGGGATAGCTCCCTGCTGCAAACCTGTGGTGGCACTGTCGCAGACAAGGAGGGCCCTGGGGGATGCAGACCCTGCCTCCTTCTCTGACCTTGTCTCCAGCCCCCTCTGTTCTCCTTTCCTGGAGACCTAGCAACACTGCCCACAGGACTCGTGTGCCTGCCTCCATGCCTTTGTCTGGCAGTGTTCCCTGTCCTCTGCTTGGAGCCAGTTCCTGTGCATCCTTGAAGGTGAAACCGGAAGCTGACCCCCCACCCCCTTTTGCATCTGCAGCACCCATACCTGTCGTTGCTTACACTGTGGTTGGGATGCTCCTGTGCTGGAGCCTGAGATGAGGGTCAGGACCACACAGATATCCTTGATGGAAACCTACTTCCTAAGCCTGAGGCGATGCGTAAGGGCAGAGTGTTCCCCCAAGACATCACTAAGGTGTAAGACCCTGAGCGTGGAGGCACACACCTGTCATCCCAGCACTCTGGGAGGCTGAAGCAGGAGGATTAAAAATTTAAGCCCAGCCTGGGCAACTTAGTGACTTAGTGAGACTCTGTCAAAAAGAAGAAGAAGAAAAAAAAGGCCAGGGATGTAGCTTAGTGGACAGGCCCTGGGTTCAAACCCTAGTACTAAAAGGAAAAAGCGTAATAGGTGCTTAATACTGTTAAACAGTTACTTAACAAAATAATTTTCAACCCAAAGTCCACTTTCACACTGATGTTTCCATTATAAATAATTTTTAATTGAAGACCGCTTAACACAAGACACATTTAATTCATGGAATTGTGCATATGGTCATCAGTTACATTGTGACATGTTAATTTCCTTATCATTTATTGGCACTGTCAACAGAGTACTGTAAACAAGATCACTTTGTATGCATTAAGTCTGCAATGCTCCCTAGCTATGGTTTTCTACCATGAGCTTATATATATAGATATCGATATAGGTAGGTATAGATATATAGACATATTAATGTGCACAACTTTGCATGGTTACTGAGTGTCAGTAAAAATTATAAAAAACACCCATTTATAATAAAAGGGAGGATGTGCTAAGACTTGCTAGTACTGGACCTTGTTTTCTGTAAAAGTGACAATACTTGCTAGAGACATTTACTAAACTCTACGGTACGAATGCATGATGGATTTGTGTCCCACAAAAGCTGTTGGCCACAGCAGCTCTTCCTCCAGGACTCTGCCCTAGCCAGCAGCCTGTCTGTTTGGCTTCCTGTGTTTCTTCCAGTGTCTTCCAAGTTGCTATGGTCTTGAGCTCTGCCAAAACCCTTACCTTGAAATTCTTCTAGCTAAACTTCCAACCTCCTATAGAAGATATCTTAGGGACTTGTCATGTCCTGAATACATGAGAATTTGTTGGCAAATGGCCTTAAAAAATTTTGTTTTAAACAAAAAATAACTTCCCTTTTTAAAGAGTAGATAATACATCTGGAAGTGATTTTCCAGATAAAATGATTTCATCCCTCTGTCCTGGGACTGAGGGGAGAGCAAAATATTAGAGCCATGCCCCCTACTGTTTCAAGCTGTGCCCTGGCTTAACACCTTTTCTGAATATTGGCACCTAATGCTGAAGTTCTCAGAAGAAACATACTTAAGCCAGTACATGAACGATGGTCTGCATTTTTCTTGTTTGTTAAATAACGCCTTGAACTTTGGGATATTGCCCATGGAATCTGGTTGGCTGGTGAGGGGTACAAGACCATGAACCTAGGTGTACTGTTCCCTTTCGGTAGTGTTCTTCCTTGTTTTGGCTGCTTGCTGAACTCTTGTTCTTTCTGTAAAACCCTGCTCAAACATCACCTTTTTCTTGAAGGCTCCTGTGCCCCCCTGGTGGATTGGGGTGCTCTTTCAGACTTCTCTATTCTACTGTTGCTGTACTTGGCACTCAGGTTTAATTATTGGTGTGATGGGATGTGAGGCCCTCTTATTTCATGGTGGGACAGGCATTTCATGAGAGTTTGATGAGTGAGGGAAGACGGAATGTAAATAAACATAGAGATGAGTGAAACCTTGCCAAGAGGGAGGCATGGAGCCTCACTTGGCAGTGCAGGTGACCTTGAATGTGGTTGAACGCCTTATAAAAAGTGGCAGATGAGCTGCTGCCTGCAGGAATGTAAAGCAAACTAGAATGCATGGATCTATCCATGTCAAATATGCCAGTTCTCAACACAAAGAGGTCAGTGGCTGAGTCTGAGGAAGAGTGGACACTCAATCTTTGAATGATTAGTCATTAAAAGAGCAAAATGCTGAAGCAGGAATATTGACATACCCATTTTCTAAAATGGTCAACCAAGGCACCAGGAGGCAGAGTGGCTTCGTTCTGGACAGAGAACCAAGCTAGACTCTTGGTCTGCCTATCCATGATACCTTACAGGTACGGGACTATCAAGTGCTCTGGGCTGGAGCATTTGAGGTCAGGTCAGTTCCAAGAACATCTCACCTCCAGCAGAGACACTGGACCCTCTGTCACATTGTCTGCCTGCCAATTTCCAGGCTCAGGTACCTTCAGAATAGCTCAGATTTCAGGGGCAAAGACCTTTAACCCAACAGGCTACTTTCCATGTGCAGGGCTCTAGAGCCTTTAATTCACGGCACTTCCCTCAAGAGGAAATTGAGTCTAGCAGTAGCCCCTTGGATGCGACGGTTCTGCTGAGAAGCAGAGTGAAGATTTTGAGCAAAAGCTGAAGAAAGCCTCCTGGGGTGGGGACCAAAATCAGACCCCAAGAGGATCTGGGGGAGAAGATATAGTGGCTCTGCTGCCTCCTACCTCAGGCCTGTACCTCTGGGGTGACAGGCTTGGGCTTCTGACCCTTTGGCTCAAGTGTGTCCCTTGGACACTCAGGATTCAGGTTCCTCCTATACTGCTATAGGCTGACATGTGTTGGAGGGATGGAGGATATTGAATAAGATCTGTAGATGATGTCACCCAGAGCTCCTCCAAGGGCAAAGGTCCTCAAGGACGAAATTCACAGTTTAGAGAAACCCCCCAGTTGGACTGAGGGGTGGTCTTCCTCATCAGGAGGCCAGATGCCCCTTCCTTTGCTCCAAGCTCTGTGTTCCCCATATCATGGCCTTCCTATGAGCCATTCAATCTCTTATTGAACCCTGGATGGGGGACTCTTGGAGCTTGGGGACTGGGTGTGAAGGTGAGAGTGAAACTGCTTCTGTAGGGTGAGGGGAAGCCAGTATCTCTGACTACCAAATAGGGCACCTGGGATGAACTGGAAGCCAAGAGTAAGGGCCATGGGCCCCAGGACCAGGTGTATCTCCCTTGACTGGCTTTCAAAGAAATTGTTAGTGTTGGTCATGGGTGGGCGGGAATACATCCAAGACCCCCAGAGCCCTTCCCAAGACTGTGTCCAGGGCTCAAGCAGAATTTCTGGGCTTTGGCCAGTGTGCACCATTGGCCCTACAGGCAGGAAACTCAAAACCAGCCCTTCCTCCCTTTGCCCTCCCCCCATAGCCACCAAAAACATCCCCTCCCCCCAACTAACTTTTCTTTTTATGCATTCACCTCTGATACTTTTAAGTGAAAACATGAATTAGGCAAACTAATCAATTTGACAACTGTTGAGATTGGGGCTTTCTCAGAGTGCAGCGGAAGTGGGTTCTTTACTTGAAGTCTGCTAAGATGTCGCTGAAGATGTTGAGAAACAGGTGAGCGTGGTGATCCCTGAAGACCAGTGTGGGACGGAAACGGATGGACTTGTCGCCACAGCCTCCCAACACCACACCTGGGAGAGAAGGCAGGAGTGTACGGTGTCATCCAAGAACAGTGGAAGTTTAAATTTAATGGGTTGATTACAATAAAAGACATATTGGCATCAACACACCTCAGAATGCTCCTCCTCCCTCTGAATGCACTTACCATCATTCATGCCCCTTTCTGAAGCAGATCTGAAAGTCCTCTTGTAAATGGCCCTGGGTGTGCTGCCCTTTTGCCTTGACGTCCTGAGTCAGTTTGAAACATTGTCCTTTCGTGGTCATTTTGACTTTGGAGCAGAGCCACAAGTCCCACAGTGCCAGATCCAGTAGAAAATGTAGGTAAGGATGCACCATCAAGTTTTTATGTGACAGAAATTACTATAAGCATGAATTGATTCAGGACATCAGTGCAGCCAAGGCAAGGCATTCAGGAAACAGAATGGCGAGCCCTGCTTCAGAAAGTGGCAGAAATGATGGAAGAAGTGTGTTTCCAGCTCTTGGGACAATTGTGAGGGGGATTAGTAGCAGTATGTCTTTTATTGTAATACATTTTAAAAATGTAAACACCATGTTTTGTGGTCACACAGTGTAAGTTAGGTGTTTGGGCTCCTAGGCTGGCAGGAAGTGACACCACCAGCCTCCTCCTCCAGCCACCAACTTTCTGTCAAACTCCCACCTGACCTTCCACCCACGATTCGTCCTTCATTCCTTTTCTCTCTCCCTCATCCAGCCTTATCTTTTCCTCCCTCCCTCCTCACTTTGGATGTTTGCTCCACTTCTCATGCACTAGGGTGGATGATAGAGAAATCCTCAGAGAGTTAGCAACAAGCAGATTACAAAAGTAATCTCCAGAATCTCCGGCTAGGTAGGAAGTAATAGGAGGTGGAGCTGAGCTGCCACTCAGGAGGATAAATCCATGTCCTTCCCCTCCAGCACTGGGGATTGAACCCATGGCCTTTGCACTAAGCCACATCTTCAACCCTTTATTTTTATCTTGAGACAAGGTTTTAACTGAGCCAATGAGTTGCCAAAGATGGGCTCCGACTTCAGTCCTCTTGGCTTAGCCTCCCAGAGTACTGGGATTACAGGCACGTACCACTATGCCTAGCTGATCCTGCTCATTTTAAAGGGAGACGTTATGATCTGCAGCGTGGCGTGTTTGTCTGTAGTTTAGCATCTTTGGGATTAGAGTTCTCTTTCTTTCTCTCTTTTTGTTTTGAAAGAAGGACCTGGGGCCTTGCCTATGTTAGGCAAGAGTTATACCACTAAGTTGCACCTTGGCACTCCTTTTTCTCACTTATAAAAAGAGGCAACTTAGCTCTGGTCTTCCAGGTTGCTGCAGGGACTGTAAGAAAAGATCTGACTGTGTGCCTGATACATAGCAGAACTCGGTCTCACCACAGTATCCCCCTCTCAAAACTCTTCAAGGGCCTCCTGTAGCTCTTAGGGTGAAGTCCAGAGCCTTGAGCCTGGCACCCCTTCCCCAGCCTCACCCTTCTCATTCTGCCTGCCCCTCTGGCCCCACCCCTCTGGTTCTCCACTGGGAGGGAGCTCCGTCTTGCCTCAGGTGACTGCATGTGCACTTCCCTCTACCTTGGAGTGCTTTTCCTCACTTTCACTGGTTGTCCCTCTCCCCCCCCCCCACCTGTCAGGCCTTCAGGACAAATGCCACTTTCTCACCGAGTTCTTCCCAGGTCTCCACACTTCCCTGGCTGTTCAGCTCTCTTCGCCTTACTATTTCCCAGGGCTCACTAGTGCAGTGGTGAAAAGCTTATTCACTGTCCGCTTCCTGTTGGCCTGCACTCCCTGAAGGAAGGACCCTGAGGGCTTTCACTGTGAAGATCTCCACTGTCAGCACAGCTCACCTTCTCAGTGGATGCCTGCTGCATGATGGAGTGGATGCAGAAATCTCCCCAGGGCTGGGATGTAGCTCACTGGCAGAACACTTGCTTTGGACATGCCAGGTCCTGGCTCCCATTCTAGCACCACACACTCATGTGCATGTGCACCCCCTCCCCAAAGGAATCCCATGGTATCTTCTCTTCTTTTAAGAAAGAATAGTCAGGCTATGGCTATGTGTATCTCATGGTTCCCCCAGTACCTAGAAATATTTTCCACCCACAGCAGATAATGCTGAACATCAGTGAAGCTTAGTTGAATACTCTCAGGTCCACTTACCTTTGTTTCTGGCAATTAAAATTAGCTTATTCCGTACAGAATCATCTGGAGTATCGAAGGAGCAAAAGGTGCCTCGTCCTCTTACCCTGCTGATGAACTGAGGGTACCGGGCCTGCAGGGGGGGAGATCATGAGAGTTTGGGGGGACAAGGTCTCTGTGCCAAGTTTAAGCCCAGGGCCTGGCACTTGGCAGGTGCTCCATAGACATTAGTCATCTCTGTTATTGGCTCTTTTAGGAAGGAGGTGGTTCTTCTGGAGGAAAAAGCTTAGCCTCACCCAAGGAGGGTGACTGGGAGACAGACTGGGTTGACTAGTGCTCTGCTACCCCAGCTCATTGTTTCAGCTGGAACCTGTGAGAGTGACCTTCTTTGAAATCAGAATTTTTCAGATCCAACTAGTTGGGTAGGAATGAGGTCTTACTGGGTGAATCTGGGCCGCGGTCCAGTGACTGGTATTAGTAGGTGGAAATTTGGACAGAGAAACAACATTGGCAGGGGGAAGGAGGACAAGTGATGATACGGGCAGAGACCACATTGAGGCTGCAACAAGCCAAGGAGTTGCCAGCATGCCCGGCAGCCCTTGGAAGCTGAGAGATGCACAGGACAGATTTTCCCTTGGAGCATCCAGGAAAATGTGGATGCTGTGACGGAGGCTTCTGGCCTCTATAACTGCGCAATGATAAGTTCTTGTCACAAGCCACACTGTGGCTGTTACAGCAGCCCCAGGAGACTCATCAAGGCAATTGTGTTAGAAGATGATTTCTCCTCACCCTCCACTGTCCATTGAAAGAACAGAAAACTAGGGCCTGAAGGTTTTGGGTGCAGTGTCAGGGAGCAAGCCTTGGTCCATGACAATGTCTTGATGGACAACAGAGACAAAGTTGTGCTCCAGTGGTGGTAGAGCCAGGCACCTGGCTGTGATTAGGATTCACTGTCCAATCCCAAGTCCTCACTCCACAGGTGAAGAAGGGACCACTTTAGTTTCCACAGATGGGAGAACTAAGGCTCCAGCATTTGCTGTTTTTCTGGGAGCTGGTGATTTGAACATCCCAACACACACGTGTCAGAGTGTGGTCTCTGGATGTGCAGGGTGTATGGTGCCTGTCTGTCTGTCTGTCTCTCCAATACAGGTACACACAGTAAGCTTAGTGACTGCAGACTTAGAGTGGGGCAGTGGGAGCCCCTGTGTTGCTGGCCCTGGGTCATGTGCTGGTGGCTTGAGTTCCTCCCGTCCAAGTACAAACCAGGCCTGGGGCTGGTGAGATGGCTCAGTGGTCTAAAGCACCTACTTAGAACAAGCTTAGCAAAGCACAGGGACCGCGGTTCAATCCCCCAGCACCACATGCCAGCCCTGACCCCTGGTGGGCTGAGCTGGCCACACACACACACAAATTAAAAAAAAATTAAAAAAAAAACCAACAAAAAACCAGGCCTGACCCTGCTTAGCTTCTGAGATCAGATGAGATTGGGCGCATTCAGGATGGTATGGCCATAGACGGCTTGAGTTCCAGCACACATCCTTTGCCTCACCCATTTTCCCCCTGAGTATTTCAGGGCATTCTTGGAATACTGACTTGTTTTTGCCCATGGCTCTATAAGGTCTTAATAGGGAGGCAGAAGCCCTGACATCTTTCTAAAATAGCTCTTAAGAGCAAGATAGAGAAGTCGCCAGAGAATTGCCCCCACTGTTTTTTTTTTTGTGGCATCATCCTGCACCTAGAGCTCACTTTTGGAAATGCACTTTGCCTTGGTCAGGGACTTTCCTTTCTCTTCCTGGCAGACATGGGGCCTTTCTCCTCCTGAGGCTGGGCCCGAGTCACAAGGCCAGAAGCTGATGCTGCTTCTCATCTCCAAGTTGCACTCTCATCTTACAATCTGACTGTGACTGTCCATGAACAGTGACTCTCTACTCTGTCCCACTGGCTTCTCCGGGGCTTCTTGGGCTGCTCTGCTCTTCCGTTTTCCTTGCCCTACCTCCTCTTTCTTTGTGCTCCCATCCATGGCCTTTGTTCCCAGGCTGTCCCTTTGTGTCTCAGAGCCCGCAAGTCCTCCATGCTGATGGCTGTCTAGGAGTGTGGCCCTGGGTCTTGGTGAAGTTGGTCAGAGGGGTATCAGCTCAGAACTAGGAGCAGTCCTAGGGCACTGCCATCGCCGCCTAAATCCTGCCACTGGCCCAGATGTCTTCCGGAGAAGTAAGTACCACCTGTCCTGTTAGTCTAGGCCTCTGGAAGTGACGGAGCACCCCTGCCTGAAGGAAGGGGAAGCCCCATACAGAGCTTTCCCTCATGGTCCCCACCGTGCCAACCTCAGCTTAAGTTCAGATCCAGTCCAAGAGAAGCTTATTTCTCGACTCCAGTCAGAGCAGTGCCTGTGGGAGGGGCTCAGCTGTGGCTACACCAGGGCCTTGGACTCAGGCAGACCTGGGTTTAGCATCTGAATTCACCCCCTCTGCCTCTGTTGTTTCATTTGCTTATTTTCTTCCAGAAAATGAGAATCATCATCATATTTTCCTAATGTCATTCTTTTTAGTTTTTTGGTATTAGAGATGACACCCAGGACCTTAATTCTGAGCTACTTCACCTGCCCTTTTCTATTTTGAGACAGGGTCTCACCAGGTCATTAACTTGCCCTGGCTACGCTTGGGCAAGTCCTTTTGCCTCAGCCTCCCAGCGCCGAGCTACCAGATGAGCTGTCACACCCAGGTGACTTTCCTAATTTCAAACTGTTTTGATTTAAGGCTGGTAGGTTGAAATACAGGATGCCTAGTTAAATTTAAATTCCAGATGAACAACAGATCATTTTTAAAAAATATAAGTATGTCTTAAATGTTGCATGGAATATACATACATTTTAAAAAGTCTCAAATTTAATCGTGCATTCTCTGTTGTAATTTTCTAAATCTGACAACCCTTCTGGTGGTTCAGTGAAGCCCCTGACTCTCCTCTATCTGGAACCAACCTTGCACCTGTCCCATGGACCTGGGACTTTTGAAACTGAAGTTTAACTGTGGCTCTTGCCTCTTCTCCCTAACTGTGGTAACTCTAATAGGATTAAGAGATAAGGCATTTAATCCAATGTTTGACATACAGTGAGTTCTTAAGCAACTTCATTTAATGCAAGTTATTGTTACTACCATTATCATCATCATTATTATCATTAGATCCTTGATCACGCCAGTGAGGCAAACATTGGCAAAGAACACAGACTTTAAAGTCCAGCAGGGGCTGGAGAGATGGCTCAGTGGTCTAAAGCACCTACTTAGAACAAGCTTAGCAAAACACAGGGACCGCGGTTCAATCCCCCAGCACCACATGCCAGCCAGCCCGCCCCCTGGTGGGCTGAGCTGGCCACACACACACACACACACACACACACACACACAAATAAATAAAATTTAAAAAAAAAGATTAAAAATAAATAAATAAATAAATAAATAAAGTCCAGCAGATCGGGGCTAGGGAGATAGCTTGGTGATCTAAGTGCCTGCCTGGCAAATGCAAGGACCCAGGTTTGATTCCTGATACTGCATGCTGAGCTGGCCCTGAAACCCTAAATGCTCTGAGCCAGCCACTAAAACCAAGCATGGTGGCACATGCCTGTAATCCCAGCGCTGGGGAAGCTGACACAGGATTGCTATGAGTCCAAGCTGCATAGCAAGACACTGTACCAAATAAAGAAATAATTAAATAAACAATAAAGTCCAGCAGATCTGGGTTTAAACTTATAGTGCCATGTGTAAGCTGGCTACCTTTGGACCTGCCTCTGGGCCTCGGTTTCCTTTTGCAAAATGGAAAAGCATATGAAGGTTTCTAGACAGGACTTGGCTCTCAATAAATGAAAGCTGTTACCATTATTATCTGTCTCTCTTCTCTCTCATCATCCTCATCACCATCCTGGTCACCACAGCCATCTCCAGCATCCCCATCCTCATCACCCCTCAGCAGGTTTGCACTCATGTCATTGTTGGCAGGATGTTTCAAAATCCTAAGGGACAGGTGCTTTAAGACCAGCCACCCAGAGCCAGGGAGATAGCTCAGCAGCACAGTGCCTGCCTGGCGAGTGTGAGGTCCTGAGTTCGATTCCAGGTACAAACAATAATAAAAAATAAGACCAGTCACCCAGAGAAAGTCATCTCTCCCCTGACTCCTGGGCTTTGCGGGCCAGTTCTAGAAATGCTGGTCTCCCCCAGCAATCCACCCACCTCCCCCAGCTTGAGAGAGTGGTGTTGATGTATGTTGGACCAAAAGCTCTAACACAGACCTGCATCATCCAGCGTGGCAGCCACATGTGGTTGCTGAAGTGTGATGAGACAAAGTCAAGGTGTGCGTGTGTGTAGAGTACATGTCCCCTGAAGTCTCATATGTGCAGTGGTGGGTTGTTCCGTGGAGGGGCTTTTGGAAGGTGATTGGATTGTGCACATGCCACACTCATCAGTGGATCCGTGTGTGGTGAGCAGGTGGGGCCTGGCTGGAGGAGCTGGGCCCTGGGAAGCGGGCCTCTGCACAGCGCCTCTCCCCACCTGGTGCCTCCCTGCTCGCTCCCTCTGCATCCTGGCTGTGGGGGGTGGGGCAGCTTCGCTCCACCACAACCTCCCACTGGGATGTTTCCGCCTGGAATGAGTAACCATGGACTGACTCCTCCTGAGCTGAGAATCAAATTAAACTCTTTCTTCTGGGTGTGGCGGGCACATGCCTATAATCCCAGCACTTTAGAGGCTAAGGCAGGAGGATCATTGCAAGTTTGAGACCAGCCTGTACTACAAAGTGAGCTCAAGGCCAGCCTAAACTGCATAGGGAGATCCTCTCTCCAAAAAGGACTCCCATAATATTTTGGAAGAAATGGGTTAAGTAAAAAATACTATTGAAAGTAATTTTATCTCGTATTGGCTTTGCTGCTTGGCCACTAGAACAGCTTCAGTGACATCTGTGGCCTACAGGAGACCCCACTAGACAGGACAGCTGCAGAGCGCGTGGAGAAGGCAGCACAGGGGAGGGAACTGCGGACGTGGGTGGGGCGGTGGCAGGGGAGCCTTTGGGAGGCTTCTCCAAGGAGCGATGTCTGAACGTGGTGTCAAAGATATAGTTAAACTTGGTTTCTCTCACATGGTTTCTCTTACATGAGAAAGCCAAAACATAAATAAATTAAAGCACAACACGCAAGCTACTAGGAACCAGGGAGACAGACCTTGTGCAAAGGGGAAGGGGACCCAGAGGTGGGGGGGGGAACAAGAGTTCAGATGCGCGCATGCGCCAACTCCTCATGACGAATGTATTACATACGGCAAACGTGTACTAATAAAAATTAAACATTTTAGAAAAGGCCAGGAATGGGGAGCTGGGCCCTGGGCTGGGAGGGAGGAGTGGGAAGGCATTGCCTCCAGGGACACAGGCCATGCCTGGAAGCTGGGGGTAGCACAGCCTGCTCGAGCTGCCGGAGCAGCAAGTGCAGCGCCATGCTTAAGAGAGTGGATACTGCCACAGGGGAGCCCCAGGGACTGCGGGGTGTTCCTGGGGTGAGAGCGGGGAGCAGGGGAGCGTACCTGGAGGTCCAGCAATCCTGTGAGGAGGACCTTCCCTGCATGGACTGCATTGTTCAGCAGGTCCTCGCGTTTGATGATGTTGATGACCTCAGCCAGCAGTAAGTTCTTAGACGGGTCTCCCAGCCAGGTGTTGAAGATCCGATAGGGCTGGAACAGGCAGATGGAGGACCGGCTCACGTACTGCCCGCTCTGAAGTGGACCCCCTTCCTCTCTCTTGGAAACCAGAGAAACTAACCAAGGATCATCTACTGAGGGCTAGAAATGCCACGTAAATTATCTCTGATTTTGTCCAAGACAACCCAGTGAGTAAATGCTGCTGCAGGAAGGCAAATCACCACAGGGCTCTGGGAAAGCATGGCAACTGGCGCTTGAACTATAGTCATGCGTGGCCTAATGACAGGGCTGTGTTCTGAGAGATCCGTTGCTAGGCAATGTCACCCTGCAAACGTCGTAGCATGGACACACACAGCCTACAACGGCTAAGGTGCACCAGGCGACATCGTCTCATGGAGCCACCATGCCACACGCAGTCCTCTGGACTGCAGCTTCGCTCCTCAGCACAGAGCTGCCCCATCATACTCATCAAATAGAGCAGGAAGCTGAGGCTTAGAAAGGCTAAAATACTGCCCACAGAAAACATGGCTCCTAGGGGAGGAGTTGGGCTTGGATTGCTTGGACTTCGACTCTCAAATGAATTATCTACCTATCCATGAGTTACTCAGGGTGGTATTGTCACCAAGGGAAGCACATGTCCCAACCTCCGTTATAGGGAGACTCGACCATGTGACTAGGAATTAGTTAAATGTTAGGAAAGAGCATTGGTGGGGTTTTGGGAAGGCTGTTAAAGACACAGATTCACCTCGTCTTTCCCATCTTTTCCTTACGACTACCTAGACCTGAGTTGTAAAGGCAGCCATTCCAGCAGCCACTGTGGGCCATGAGGCAACCCTGAAGGTAGAAACTACAAGGGCTGATCGATATATGTTTTTAATGTTTAACTTTTAAAAATGCATTACAGTGAAAGACACCTTGCCAGGACTTCTCTCAAAGTACTCCCTTCATTTCTAGTGCACGTATGCCACTGGCATTGCTGCTTCCTGAAGCAGTTTTGGAAGTCTTTTGTGACTATTTTTATTATAACTATTATTTTATGTATTTGGTACAGGGTCTCAATACAGACTTTGTAGTGACCCTCCTGTTTTCAGCCTCCTCAGCGCTGGGATTACAGATGCACACCACCATGGCCGGTCTCCGTAGCTGGCTCAGTGCATCCAGGGGTGGGGCCGGAGTGGCATGTGGTGCCAAGGAGCGAAGCCTCGGCCCTGTGCTAGCCTAAGCAGGCACTTAGTCCGCTGAGCTATCTCGCCAGCCCTGTGACTGTGTTTATAAGGTACAATAAACCCCCAGTGAATGCTGCTGCCAGGTGTCATCCAGTAGAGAGGCAGGCTTGTGCAAGCACCACCGTGTGTCTTCCCCTTTCTCACCGGACCTAGCACCATGCACCTTCTGGTGCTTCCTAAAGTTAAACTGATTATGAAAGGAGAAGATTTTGAAGTGATTCAGGACACTACGACAACCATAAGATCACAACTGAGGACACTCACAAAAGAGGACTTCCAGAACTGTTTCAGAAATGGCAAGGACAATGGGATAAGTGTGTTCAAAGTGAGGGGGAGTGTTTCGAGGGGGGCTAATGGCAAAATATCTATTCCTGTAATAGATATTTAAAAATTTAAACATTCATCTCTATGCTGGTGACTCCTTATACATGTAGGAATGATGGAAGGAAGGACTCTAGGCCCTCTGTGTGTGTGTGTGTGTGTGTGTGTGTGTGTGTCTGTGTGTACATAAATGAAGATCTTCATGTACACAAGCAGCACAGTGTAGTAGCTAAGAACATGGGCTCTTGGTTTTCATTTTTGGCTTTATCAATTACAGGCTGTTTGGTCTTGGACAACTTACTTAACTACTCCGTGCCAGATTGCCCATTAGTAAAATGGAAAAAAAATAACACCTCATTGGTTAGATTGCCATGAAGGTTAAAAGATGATGAGACATGCAAAGGCACAGGGCAAATGCTGGGTCTGCAGGAGCAACCATTAACATTGTTGTACACAGAGAATGAACCCATGAGAAGAGTGACTGTGGGCAGCTAGGAAGATGGATTTGAGTGATCTGTGATCGTAGGCATTAATTAAACTGGTAAAGACCGAGCTGTGTTAGGCGCCTGCCGGTTCTTCTTACTGGGGAAAGGGCAGGGAGCAAGGGACACTCTCCAATGGCAGTGCCACTCACGGTGGTGGGCCGGAACTCCTCCTTGTGGAAGAAGCCCCCGGTCATCATCTTCTTGCTGAAGGTCATCACATCAGCCGGGTCGTCCAAGCCCCAGTGCTCGTGCGCCCAGAACCTGCCTGTGCAACCCCCACCTGTCTGGACCTCATCCACCAGGAAGGCGCAGCCGTGCTAATGGAGAAGAGATGGAAGAGACAGAGAAACACTGTCGGGGCCCAGCGACCATAGCCCCACTGCTGCCAACCCCAAGCTCGAAGTCCAGCTTCATCCTCCCTGTCTGAAAGCTGTGTTCTTAGATTATGCAAGACAAAAAAAAAAAAAAAAAAAGGCACTTAAAGTAGAGCAGTTCCCACCAGAGCTGCCTCTGAATGTGTCCTGAAACTGCTGAGCTGAAACGGAACTGCGTCTCTAAGACTCCCAGCACCGGTGCACAGCTTGGCAACCCGGGTTCCTACGGCCTGGCTCAACCTCCTCAGAAGGAAATGAGTCCAGCCCTGAAGAGGGTCCTTCATTTCCTCATCTTTAGCAGCCATGTGCTGTGTCTCACTGGGCTTTCAGTAACTCGTGTCCTGCAACTTCTGCTGGTGAGCCTGCTGGCTTAATGAGTTGGTTAAATATACATCCAACCCATATAAAGAGGCCAGCTGAGACCTTCCCAAGAGGCTCTTAATTGAGAAAGTTCCAAATTAAGATAGGCAGCTTAGAAGTTGGTTTATAAGAAGTTGGCTTTTTGTTTGTTTGTTTGCAGTACTGGGGATTAAACCAGGGACTTTGCATTGAGCTCCCCCCATCTCGTTTGCTTGCTTGCTTGTTTTGATACAGAGTCTTACTAAATCACCGAGTTGCCTTAACTATGCTGGGACTTGCTGTCCTCCTGTCTCAGCCTCCCAGAGTGCTGGGGTTATAGGTGTGCACCACCACACCCACCTGCTATAGGAGTTTATTTCACTTATTTATTTATTTTTATTTTTTTGCAGAACCGGGGATTGAACTCAGGTCATTGATCTTGCCAGGGAAGCACTTATTCTACTGAGCCATCTCTCTGCCCCAGGAGTTTAAAAATGAGTCACAGGGGCCGGTGAGGTAGCTCAGCAGACTAAGTGCCTGCTTTGGCAAGCACAGGGACCAGGGTTTTATCCTGGGCATCACATGCCATGCTGGCCCTGCCCCTGGGTACACCAAGCCGACCACCGAGACTGGGCATGATGGTGCACACCTGTAATCCCAATGCTGGGGAGGCTCAAAACAGGAGGATCAGTACAAGTTCAAACTGCATAGTGAGACCCTGTGTCAAGTGCATTAAAAAAAAATCACAGAAATCTCCCCTACCCCAGCTTTCCCACCCATGGAACCCATATCCTCTGTATATCTAGATGTTTGCATGGACCCCAAAGCAGAAGCAAGGCTAATGTCCAACCCAGAAAGTCCTGTGCCCCATCCAGCCTTGCCCCATCCTCTGACCTTCCTGGCAATGTCTCTCAGCTTCCGGAAGAAGTCATCTGAGGCATGGTTGTCTCCACCCTCGGACTGGATGGGCTCCACGATGATTCCAGCCACGGTCTTCTTCTTTTTCCGGTATTTTACAATCAGATCTTCCACCTGGATCCCAAAGGGACATAATAAAGGCTCACAGAGGCTCCTGAGTAGAGGCTGTGGGTGGGTATCTGGGGGTCCACACTTTCCTTGAAGCTACGTTTAAACTATATGTGTTGTAGCAGTTCCTATGGTTAGTGTGGCTCCTATTAGGAGCCCACATGTGGCAGGGGCGTGTCCTCCTTGAGACTGGTGCTACCAGGAAGCTAGTCACTGCCTTGCAGAGCCTCACTGTCCTGGTCAGTGGGGTGGGAACCCTGAAAGGCGCAGGAGCAGACTACCTTTCACTATTGTACTGTCAATGCTGCTCTTGGTCTTCTGTTAGCAAGACAGTCCTTTGGGCAGAGTTCGAGGTAAATATTTTATTTTTTATTCAGTTATTTTTTTGGTGGTACCGGGGATTGAGCTCAGGACCTTGTGCTTGCCAGGCAAACACTTATAATTTCCCTGGCCCACTGAGGGAAATATTTTAGAAACTGCTGTAGAGCTTGTCTGCAGTGAGACTAATCCCATCTGTGGTCGTGTGGAGTGGGACTAGGAGACGGGGTGGGAGGATCTGTCAGACTGGCTCAGAGCTGGTAAGATACCCCAGCTTGGGTGATGGTGTATTAACTTATCAAAATCTGTGGAGTAAAGTAGTCCTTAACTTACAAGTTCCCTTCTGGGAGAATTATAAATTGGATTTGTTGGTAAGCTGACAAAGTGAGTCTTATACAACATACCTAGGAAAGTTCACTCCTTGAATGGCTGTCAGGGAATTGCCGTAGACACTTAACAGGGGTGCATTTTCTTTTTTTCTTTTTTTTTTTTTGTGGAACCGGGGATTGAACTCAGGCCCTTGTGCTTGCCTGGGAAGTGCTTATTCCACTGAGCCATCTCCCCGGCCCAGGGGTGCATTTTCTGTTTCATAAATTATACATGAATGAAACTGACCAAAAAAATGTAGCTGGATGCGGGTTACTGTTAAACTGGAGTCCTAATGAAATATATAAAAAACACCCTGTTTAAAGGGTGGTGTTTCTTTTATTTTTAAAGTGGTGGTATTTCTTAAACTTTGGTTCTAAGGTGGGTAGGTAATAATTATGACACTATACTAATAGTTTAATCAATAAATTTGAGAAACCCTAAGCCACACAGACTAACAAGATCTTTTTTTAAAAAAATTTTATTTATTTATGTGTGTGTGCGTGTGTGTGGTCAGCTCAGCCCACCAGGGGGCGGGGCTGGCTGGCATGTGGTGCTGGGGGATTGAACCGTGGTCCCTGTGCTTTGCTGAGCTTGTTCTAAGTAGGTGCTTTAGACCACTGAGCCATCTCACTAGCCCCACAAGTGAGATCTTGATTGTGCAGAACATACTTGGAACATGCTTGTGATCCAGGCCTCGGCCTCCACCGGTTACCCCAGGGAAACGCTGAGGTGCTTTTCCTTGCTTTGCCATCCCACCTACAAGTCACCCACAGTCATCACTCCATGGTTATTTGTCCTCCCCACTACTCTGCACTCTCCCCCTCAGGAGCACGTGGCGTGTAGTGGGTCTAAAGGGTACGCTAGCATGAACCGTACACAGCAGTTTACAAACACTTCACATTAAAAAATAAAACAGCTCATTAGTAATTTTAAAATATTAATTACATGTGGTTATAATATTTGGGATATATTAGGTTCAATAAAATGCAGTTTAAGGGACAGCCAGATAGCTCAGTGGACTGAAGCACCTGCTTAGGCGGGCACAGGGTCTGGGGTTCAATCCCTGGTTGTTGTGCTCGCCCTGTCCCCGGGGTGCATTGAGACACGAATGAGACTGGGCATGGTGGTACGTGCCTGTAATCCCAGCCCTTGGGAGGCTGAAAACAGAAGGATCACTATGAGTCCGAATCTGTATAGTGAGACCCTATAGACCCCTTACTAAATATATTTTTAAAAAATGCAGTTTAAATTAGTGTTATTTTTTTTTTCTTTTTGCAGTACTGTGGATGAACCCAGGGTTTTCACATTGAGCTATATCCACAGCCCTTTTTTATTTAGTATATTGACAGAGGGTCTTGCTAAGTAACCAAGTTGTCCAGGCTGGGCTTGAACTTTTGATTCCCCTGCCTCAGCCTCCCAGAGTGCCGGGGTTACAGGTGTGTGCTACAATGTTTTGCTATACTCCTTTTTCCTTCCTTCCTTCCTTCCTTCCTTCCTTCCTTCCTTCCTTCCTTCCTTCCTTCCTTCTTTCCTCCCTCCCTCCCTCCCTCCCTTCTTTCTTTCTTTCCTTCGTTTTTTGTCTTTTTGAGACAGGGTCTCATTATGCAGTTTAGGCTGGTCTTGAGCTCAGTTTGTAGCCCAGGCTGGTCTTGAATTTGCAACGATCCTCCTGCCTCAGCCTCCTGAATGCTGGGATTACAGGTGTGTGCCACCACGCCTGGCTGCATACTCTTTCAATGAATCCATTTCCCTTTATTTTGGAATCACTGGAGCTTGACCTCAAAGACATGTAAATTATAGAGAAACTGGTGCCAGAGTATTAAAACTATGTCACTAGCTCTCCCTCAGGCACAGGTCCCTACCTCCTCCCCAGGACCCCATATACAGCCTCATCTGTTCTCCTCTGGGCTCAGGCTCTGGCTGGTGAGGGCAGGAGTACGAAGGGAAGTGAGGAGGCCAGTTACCTCCTCTAGGCAGCGGGCCTCCTCCTGCTGGTTGTCCTTCTCAAACTCCTCAAGAGGGTACTTCAGCCGAGGGAATGGTGCAATGGGCCAGTCGAAGGAAGGGATGTCGATCTTGTGAATTGCTTTGGAGTGTGTGGCCGCTAAGCAACCTAAATCCAGTAAGAGAAAAGCAGATGCTTGGCCTGGGTGGTCTCTGGAGAGGACACGATGGGCATTTTAGCCACAGGCACGCAATGCACAGGGGGGCCTGTTGCTTGCAGGTTCCCAGTTCTTGCATCCCCCTGGAGCTGAAGCAGAACCCATGAACTGCTGTACGTGTGAGTGTGCGTACGTGTGTGTGCACGCGCGTGCATGCGCGCGCGCACACACTTTGTAACTCATCACAGGTCATGCACCCGCTGTGAAGATGAGAGGTGAGGGTTTGAATTCTGGCTCTGCCACAGAAAAGCCTTGTAAAGTTCCTCCCCAGGCTGACCCTCAAGCTCCCCATCTGCAAAGCTAGGGAAGTAGTCCCCTGGTGCAGTGTGGAATCAGGGGGACAATCTGTGTAAAGCTCAGTGCCAGGCCCAGGCAGGTGTCACTACTGTTTCTGGTGTTATTGCTCTCAGTGCCATCTGAACATGCTGGCTCCTCCTTACCCATGGTCCTGCCGTGGAAAGCACCCATAAAGGAGAGGATGCTGTAGTCAGGGCATCCGGGGGCCTAGAACCGAGAGATATGAGCGTCAGTCACCACTGGGAGGACTGGGGATGGCAAGCCACCCTGTGAACCAGAAGACCGAGGAAGTCTATGAGAATGCTTCCTAGGCACAAGTTGCAATCTGCATCCCCTGATGTCTACACCAGCCACAGATACTTTGTTTTGGTCACACACTTACATTTTAAAAGTGTCAAATTTAAAACAAAGGCATTGCATGTAAATATGGGAGCTTCTGGCTTCCCACAGGTTCTGCCCCGCGTGGGCCATGGTTCTGCAAGGCAGCAGCAGGTGGCCTGGCGTTCACATGTAGGGTGACTCCTCTTGGCTGGGCCTCTGTGTGTTTGACGCCTGCTCTGCAGCCTCTCCCAGAGCTCACACTGAAGCCGCAGGGTGACTCTGGTGTCCACAGCTCACAGGTGGTGCCATCCTCGCAGGTGTGCACATGCTTCCAGGTGTCCTGAGGCAGGGTCTCAGCTGGGCATCTTACAGCAGATGCTTGCGGCCTTTGGAAGAAGTCTGCCGAGCCAGGTGGCAGGGAGGGGAGGATATGCCTTTCCTTTTCCTTGGCTCTGGAGGGGCATGTGCCCAGCGCACAGGCCTCTAGCCCCTTCCCATCCACGCAAATGGCACAGCTGTCCCCCCGCCCCCGTACTGTTTCCTGACCCTCTGCCAGCAAGGTAATCCGGAAGCACTTTCAGCTCACTCAGGAGGAACTGTTGGGGGAGTCTCAAGGCCCCTCAGGCCAGGCTCTGGGAGGCTGATGGTCTGGGAGGTGACAGGACAGTTTTAGCCTGGCTTATCTCCACCAATACCTGAGACCTCTAAGGAAAACTTCAAGACTTGAAGACCTCCTCTCACGAGTTCCAGAATACCCTCTTGTCCACATCCCCACATACCTTTGCAGTAGTGGGGATGGATCCCAGGGCCTGCGCATGCTAGACAAGTACTCCACAACTGAACTAAAGCCCCCACTCGCATCACTTCTCTGTCTCTGTCTCTGTCTCTGCCTCTGTCTCTCCCTCCCTCCCACACACATTTGGGTATTACAAGATCATCGGTAAGCACAGAACTGGTATTAAAATCCACACGGGGAACTCGGAAACCTCTTTCACGGTCAGCAGCTCTCCAGAGACCTCAGCTCAGATGCTGCGGCATTGTTGCTCCTGTTTTTCCCTGCTTGTCAGGCCTCTCCTCTTGGTTCCTTCTCCTCTTGGGCAAGCCTGTTTGCCCTCAAGGCCTCAGCCAGTGTCTTCTTGGCTTTCTTTACAAATCTGTCTCTGGATGTCTGTAAAAGTTGAAAAGCTCCTGGGAGCATCTCTTTCCAAGCTGGAGACAGGCCGGACCTGTGTGCAAACTACACCAATTTGGCCAAGGGATCCTCTTGGATTTCCTCAATTCATTATTTTAAAGGGATTTGTAAAATCCAGTTGGCTTAAAGTTCTCTTCCCTGCCGTGGGGCTGGAGTGCCTGCAGCCTCCAGCCTGCACTGAGTTGCTGGCCTCTTCCTGCTTCTCCTCCTGTGGACCACACCTGACCTCTCTGCCAGGAGGGGTGTTGCTCTGGTCACTGCCCTCAGGAGGTTGGCTGCAGCTGCTCAGGCTCATGGGAGTGCAGAGCCACACCAGCTCGCCACTTCCCATGGGGCATGGACTCAGCATTTCTCCTGTAAATCCATTTTTCTTTTGAACTTCCCCATGAAAGCCTGGCTTGGAAATGAGCTTGCTGCTGGCTCTACCACCATCACTACTGCATTTGTCTTGCTGGTTCTATTGCTGAGAGGCAGACAGGCTATGGCTTGCTAGAAAAACTTTTTTTTTTTTAAGAAAAACTTCTTAAAAACCTTTGATGCAGGGTCTTGTTACACAGTTTGGACTCCTAGTCATCCCTGTCTCAGCCTCCCTAGTGCTAGGAGTACAGGTATGCACCACCACACCTGGTTCTAGGGCCAGCACAGCATGCAGTACTGGGGATTGAACTCAGGACCTTGCACTTGCCAGGCAGGCACTTATGCAGCTGAGCTATATCCGGGGCCCTTGTATCTTCATTATAGTTGCAACACAGATCTCTATCATCATGCACTTTTGGATACAGGCACTAAAATGAGGAATTAGATCTACATTTTCTGGGTTATTGGAATAGAGAGAGAGAGGTATGGCTATATTTGCAAGCAGGAAGTGTGGTTAGGGGGAAAAAAGTGGACTTTAAGGATGCATAAGAAAAACCAAACCAAAACCACCAGATTTGCCACCCAGGGCCATACCATTGTAAAGGTGTTAGGAGGACGGCTTCCAGTATTTACTATATGACTACTTACAGGGTTGAGGCACAGTATCCATCCAATTTACATCCCACCGCTTTCACCAAATTATAGCATGAGTGTCTGGGCCAAGATAAACCTTTGGCTGTTATTTTGGCTGAATGTTATTGCGCGTGTAAGCGATGGATAATCAGGTGCAGCGGGCCTTGATATTCCTGTGTGTTTCTTTTTTTTCTTAAAATTGCAGACACTTGGGCCTGAAGTTCCGTGGGATTCCCATGCATAAAGAAGACAAGCCTGTTCTGGTTGAGCTGAGTGGGAGCCTCTGACCCTATCCCCTCCGTTTCCCAGCAGTGCTCACCAGTCACCTTTGAGCCCCAGCAATGGTCTCCTTGGTGTCTTTGGGGACTGCCAGGGTTTCATTTGGAATTCCTACACTTCATTCATCTTTCCCCATTCCTGGAAGGAGGTATAGATGGTTTCCAATGTTTTCTCTGGTTATTATTATTAAAAAACAAATGAGATGAAGTCTCATGTGTACATCTTAGCTGATTCGCCTTGTTCTATACAATACATCTGAGCTGTGAACCTTCACAGGTATGCTGTGTGAGACTCACTCCGTTGGATTTACAAGCATTCTCCCAGAACAGAGCCCCTTTGTAAGCCTGGGACTTACTATAGGCCTCATTAATACCCTCTTCAAGCCTGTCAAATTCAGGCCTTTGTCCTGGGAAATTGCTTAAGGCTGGTCATGAAGTGCCCCCCTCATCCCCAGCCCTCAGGGGCCAAATTGTTTAAGGACCTTTCCTAACCGAAAACTTGTGTCAGTCAGCCATCAGCTGCTGGAGGGTGCCTCGCAGCTCCCCCACAAATGAACAAGGCAAGAGACCCAGCTCCACCTACCTGGTTAATCATGCAGGTCTCCAGCTCTTCTTTTGAGAATCCTCTTTGCCCTCTTTCCTTGCTCTGGAAAGACAGAACAGAACAATTCCTCAGAGGCTGGAGATGGATGGGACGTAAGCTCTCTACGCAAGTCTGGTTTAGTGGAGACAGTTAGTACTTTCTCAGGAGCTGATCCCACGCACTGATCCTGAGGTGTCTGCATTGAAGCGTAAAACTGTTCACTGTGTTTTCAACAACAAAACAACAGTGGTGACAATTAGATGAACGACGCACTGCATTGCAATGCATTAAGACTCTATCAGGAACAAACGAAGCTCTGTGGAGATGGTACTTGCTGATAGATTCTGGCCCTAGTATAAATTGCTAAAATTATTATGGTAGTCATCTAATATGGCCAATGCCCTTAAAACAAAAGCGCATCTTCCCCAGACCACCTACCCCTTCTTCTCCAACTCAGCCCAAGATACAGTTTCCTTCCACCCTTCCCACAGCCTCAGGGAAGACCCCCCCCCAGTCAGCTCCCTTAGGTATATCTAAACATCCCCTCCAAACTCCACCCCTGGCAAAGGCCATATAAGTCTCAGCCTCCCTTTGTTCCAACTGAGAGAATTCCCATCTTCCCCACATTCTTTCTGTGTCTTCAAAGAAAATAAAGCCCCTTTCTCTTTTTCTTTTTCTTCCTGTTTTTCTGCTGCCCTGTGCACCTGAAGAAACCTATCACTTGCTATGCTGGTAAGTACACTGGATAAGCTTGGTGTCACAGCCTTATGTGACCCTTTGTACCATATACTACATTAGGATGCTGGGGAAACTGCAGCTAGGCTCTCTTTGGACTTGACCCCGGCCACTAAGTCTAACCCTCCAGCTGTCAGGGTGAACTGTCAGACGGTGACACTTGCAGCCAAATGAGGGTGCGTGTGTCTATACCCCAAGCCTTACCCGGTACCACATGAAGATGGTCTTGAATGCATTTTCATTTGAGCAGGAGCCACAGGCCATGGTGACAAGCTGGGACATCCCTTTGGGAGCCACCTGCCGAGATGAAGCCAGGAGTGAGCCCAAGCCCAGCTGACCCCCACGTTCCCTGCCTGGAGCTGTGTTCTCAGGGTCCTCCCACCTCCCTTACCTGGAAGCCATTCAAGGGCGGGAAGGAAACAGAGAAATCTGGGAAGCAGCCAGATGTGTGGATGGACGTAGGCCTATCTAGGGCTGGAAGAGCAGCCTAGGAGGGCCCTGAAGCCAGCAGAGAGGAAAGAGAGGCACAAAAAGCCACCTCCATGCCTCTGGATGCAGCTGCTACTCCTAAGATACCCATTCCTATTTTGCAAGTAGGAAACTGAGATTCCCAGTGACTTTAAGCCTTGTTACGGCTAAAGCTGAAAAGTTGTAGGGAATGAGTAATTGATGCAGCATTGCTCTCATGGGACAAATATTAATTTTCCCTGGGTTCCCTCTGTCCACACAAAATTCCCTTCTTTTCTACAAGAGGAAAATTAAACATATTCTTCATGAAAGAATAAATCCAACTGTGGAAGGCTGAGGCTAGAGGACTGTAAATTCAAGCCCAGGCTTAGTGACTCAGTGAGACCCTGTCCCCCCCAACGCCTCTCCTTCCCGCCACACACACACACACACACACACACACACACACAAAAGGCCTGGGGATGTAGGTCAGTGTGAAGGCCCTGGGTTCAATCTTCAGTCAAAAAAATATAGTTAAGGGGCCAGGGAGATAGCTCAGTAGAATA